ATGCTCCCGAAAACAATTTATAAGAACACTCAGTCTTCCATGACCAATACACAAAACAAAGTTATCCCCGTCCACCCTCACCCGCCCCTAATGACTCGAACCAATACGTATGTGTGATGATCAAAGTGTGAGCAATATCCGGTCACAGAGCTGGAATGTTGATTATTTCTCTTCTCAGTTTGTCATGTTTTCTCCCTTGCCTCCACCCCACCCCACCCCACCATTAATAATAACTTTGCAACAAATTGTGATGTATTAGCCTGTAGAGAAATAATCGACTAAAAAAACACTCCATGCACAAACATGTCGTTCAACTACGTCATTTCAAAAGAGAATCCGGACGTAAAATTGAAGCTGCATTCACATGGGAAAAATCGATGAACTTCCAAGGGATGAGACACGCACAAAAGGAAATGCACATACACACACACACACACATATGGGTGATTGAAAAGTTGCATTGTAGATGCAAGAAAAAGCTTTCACTGATTTTGTATCCGCTTTCGGTATCCGGATTTCACTGACCCCGAAGGTTGTGATCTCATCACTGTGTGTGTGTGTGTGTGTGTGTGTTGAGGCGGGGTGAGAGGAGAGTGGGTAGGAATAACCGAACTTTCTATCACCTCAGTTTCATTTTCAGTGCATTTCAAATTGTGGCTGCCCTTCACCATCATCGTGACGCTGACGGTAAAAACAAACATGTGTATTGATGAAATATGACTGTAATCTACCCCATGATGAGGCACGTACATTTTGAACGATGAATCATGATCAAACAAGTGAGACAAAGTGGAACAAACCTGGAAGACCTTCCAAGGACATGGCTCTCATAGCAAGTCGGAAATTTTGCATCGCTTCACAACGATCAGAGTTGGCTGCCTGGATTGTTGCATTCCGATCGGCCCGAAGTGCAGCCTGACCCGGTAAATTGCACATGGTATTGACCAGATCCACAGCAATACCGATCGCTGAAACGTTTCCGACAATGCGACATAGGGTTAGAGGACCACCTCCAAGATGTGGTGCAGCTGTTCAGGTGAAATAGAGCAATATCTTCGAACAACAACAACGACCATAGAAAAAAGCACGCCAGCTGTCTGTAACAATTGACAAACAATGACGGAAATGAGGGGTATTATGTTGCTAATTGTTAATTAGAATTAAAATGCCAAAACGAGCAACAGAGATTGGGGGCAAACTTCACCACGTGATGAAGACAGAGTATAATTTAAACTGTATTGGATGGATCGTATTCGATGCTTTGTGTTTATAAACGACCTATCACATGTCCTTGGATCAAACATACACACTACTATTGGCGGACGATGCTAAAACTTGTAGAATATTGTCACATCCAGAGGAATATTTGGCACTCCAAAAAAAGCGATCAGTGCAGCTCACCGACGGTCAACCGTCAATCACATTGAACTCGACATTTCAAAATGCAAATTTGTTCCTATGCGGCACAAGACTCGTTTCTCCTATGTTCTGGGGAATCAAAAACTATTATATGCCACTGATGAAAGGGATTTGGAAGCAATAGTACAGAAGGGCGTCGTAGGATGTTCCAAGCACTTTTCCAGACCATCATTCACGGCTCTAAAACAGGTTGAACCAATTAAACGTGCCTTCGGGCAG